CTGCTGAAACCAAAGACAAACAGAAAATCTTGAGGTGCCCAAAGAAAAAAAGACATTAAATACAGAGGAACAAAGATAATAATTCAGCAGACTTCTCATCAGAAACTGTAAAAGCCATAAGACAGTGGAGTGATATCTTTAAAGTTCTAAAATGAAAATCTTGTCAACCTAGACTTCTATATCCACTGGAACTATTTTTCAAAATTGTAGGAGAAATAGTTTATCAAACAAACAAAAACGGAAAGAATTTATTGCCAGCAGACCTGTACTACAAGAAACATTAAAGGAAGTTCTTCTGGTAGAAGGAATATGATACTAGACAGAAACTTGTATCTATACAATGAATGAAGAACACCGGGAATGGCATAAATGGAGATAATTATAAAATTCACTTTTTCTTTTTTATAAATGCTCCAAAAGAGAACTGACTGTCTAAAGCACAAACAGTAGCACTGATAGACCTAAAAAGAGAAACAGATGAATCCACCACCACAGACAGATTTCAATATTCTTCCCTTAGCAATTGATGGAATAAGTAGACAGAGAATCAGTAAGGATCTAACAGTCTTAAACAACACTGCCAACCAACTTTACCTGATTGACATACATAGCACACTCTAGTTAACAACAGCAGAATATACTTTTCAAATGCAGTTAGAATATTCACTGAAATAGACCACATTGAGGGACATAAAGCAAACCTTGACCAATTTAAATGAATGGTAGTTTACAAGGTAAACTCTTGGATCATACTGAATTTAAACTAGAAATGAACAACAAAAAGATATTTGTGAGCCAGCCCTGGTGGCCTAGCAGTTAAAGTTTGGTGCACTCCACTTCAGCGGCCCGGGTTTGGTTCCCAGGCATGCAACCAAACCACTTGTAGTGTGGCTCATATAGAAAAATTAGAAGGACGTACAACTAGAATATACAACTAGATACTGGGACTTTGGGGAGGGAAAAGAAAAAAAAAAGGATACTTTCAAAATCCCCCCAAATATTTGGAAATTAAGCATTCTAAGTGATCCATGGTAAAAGAGGAAATCACAAGAAGAATTAGAAAAATATTCTGAATTCTATGAAAATGAAAACACAACATATTAAAATTTGAGGGATGCAGTGAAAGCAATGTTTAGAGAAAAAATTTTTAGCATTAAATGCTTATATTAAGAGAAAGATCTCAAATTAATCATTTAAGCTTCTACCTTAAGAAAAAAGAAAAGCAAATTAAACCTAAATCAAGCAGAAGAAAGGAAATAAGAAAGCAGAAATCAATTAAATTAAAAACAAAAAATAGAGGAAAAAATCAATAAAACCAAAAGCTGTAGCTTTTTTAAAAAAAGACAATAAAATTGATAAACCCCTAGCCAGACATACCAAGAAAAAGAGAAGACAAAAATTACAAATGTCAAGCATGAAAGGGAGAACGTTATAGACCCACAGACATTCAAGAGATAATAAGGGCATATTATGAAGAACTCTATGGCCATAAATTCAACAATTTATATGAAATGGGTAAAACTCTTAAAAGACACAAACTACCAAAGAAGAAATAGATCACCTGAATAGTCCTATAACTATTAAATAAATTGAGTTATTTTTTAAAATAATTAATTAATTAATTATTTTAAAGATTTTATTTTTCCTTCTTCTCCCCAAAGCCCCCCATTACACAGCTGTATATTTTTAGTTGTGGGTCCTTCTAGTGTGGCATGTGGGACGCCGCCTCAGCATGGCCTGATGAGCAGTGCCATGTCCACGCCCAGGATCCAAACTGGTGAAACCCTGGGCTGTCAAAGCAGAGCATGTGAACTTAACCACTCTGCCATGGGGCTGGCCCCTGAATTGTTTTTTAAAACCTTAAAACAAAGAATTAAAAAACCAACTCCAGGCCTAGGTGGCTTTTTGGAGAAATCTACCGAATATTTAAGGAAGAAATAATACAATTCTATATAAATTCTTCCAGAATATATAAGAAGAGCAAATATAGATGCAAAAATCATCAGCTACCTATTAGCAAATCTATTTTAGCAATATGTAAAAATATATAATATTTTATGACTAAATTGGGTTTATTCTTGGAATGAAAGGCTAGTTCAACATTCAAAAAATTTTATATGCAATTAAACATATCAACAGATTAAAGAGGAAAAAGTGTGATTATCTCAAGAGAAGCAGAAGCTCTTTGACAAAATTCAACCTCCATTTCTGAAAAGAACTCTCAAAAACTAGAAATAGAAAAGAACTTCCTCAACATGATAAACGGCATCTTGAAAGATCTTCAGGTAACATTATGCTTAATAGTGAAAGACTGAATGTTTTCCCCCTAAGATTGGGAACAAGGAATGTCTATTCTCACACTCCTGCTCACTATTGTATTCAAAGTCCTACCCAGTGCAATAAGGCAAGAAAAAGAAATAAAAGGCAAACATATTGGAAAGGAAGAAACAAAACTGTCTTTATTCACAGATGACATGATTCTTTACATAGAAATTCCCAAAGAGTCATTCAAAAAGCCACTAGAACTAATTAGTGAGTTTAGCAAGGCCTCAGCGTCCAAGATAAAAAACAAAAATCAATCATACTTCTATATACTAGTAATAAGCAACTGGAAATTGAAAAAAGTAGCATTTACAATATACTATAAAAAAGAAATAGGTATAAATCTTACAAAATATATCAATATCTGTATGCTTAAAATTATGAAAAACTAATGAAAGAAAAAGATCTAAACAAATGTCCATGAATTAGACAACTAAATTTTCTTTTTCTGCCTTTTCTTCCCAAATCCCCCCAGTACATAGTTGTATATTTTAGTTGTGGGTCCTTCTGGTTGTGGCATGTGGGATGCCGCCTCAACATGGCCTGATGAGCGGTGCCATGTCCACGCCCAGGATCCGAACCAGCGAAACCCTGGGCCGCCGAAGTGGAGTGTGTGAACTTAACCACTTGGCCACAGGGCTGGCCCCTAGACAATTAAATTTTGTTAAAATATCAGTTCTCTCCAAATTCATTACCAGATTCAATGTATCCCAATGAACAATTTTTGCCAAAATTGAAAAACTAACACTAAAATTTATATGGAAAAGTAAAGTAATTAGAGTAGCCAAAACAATTTTGATAAAGAAGAACAAAGTTGAAGGATTCATACTACCTGAGTTTTAGACTTACTATACTATCTTCAATAATCATGACTGGAGAAATATATACATCAATGAAACAGACTAGAGGGTCCAGAAATAGTCCCACATGTCAACTGATTTTCAACAAAGTTGCAAAGGCAATAGAGAAAGAATATTCTTTTCAACAAATGGTGCCAAAACAACTGGATATCCACAGGCAAAACATAAACATCAGTCCATACTTTGCACCCTATGCAAAAATTAACTCAAAATGAATGATAGACCTAAAGATAAAACATAAAACTATAAAACTCCTGGAAGAAAATATAGGGGAAAATAATTCCTTGTTGACTTTGTTAGGCAAAGATTTCTAACGTACAAGACCAAAAGTACCAATCCACAAAAGTGATAAATTGGATGGCATCAAAAGTAAGAAAGTCTGCTCTTTTAAAGTCTCTTTTATAAGAATGAAAAGAAAAGACACAGACTGGGAAAATATTTGCAAATCATATGATGCATGGTATAAGATTTGCATCCAATATATAAAGAACTCTCAAACTCAATAGTAAGAAAACAAGCAATCCAATTTTTTTAAAATGAATAAAAGATTTGGACAGATACTTTGTCAGAGAAGAATATATTTGAGCAGCAGACAAATACATAAAGTTATCCAACATTATTAGTTATTAGGGAAATGCAAATTAAAATTTCAATGAGATACCATTACACACCTCTTAGAATGGCTAAAATTAAAAAGTCTTTTTTGACAATACCAAGCGCTTGCAAGGAGATGACCTAACCATACCTCTCACACGTTGCTGATGTGAATTTAAAATTGTACAGATGCTTTGGAAACAAGTTTGGCAGTTTCTCATAAGGTGAAATGCACACTTCCCACCTGACCCAGCAATTCCACTTCTAAGTATTTACTCAAATGAAACGAAAACTTACGTTTACACAAAAAACTCTACATGAGTGGCTTTATTCATAATCTCAAAAACTGGAAAATACTCAAAAGTCCCTTAACTGGAGAATGGATAAACAATTACGGGTACATCCATTCAATGAAACACTAATAAGCAAGAAAAAAGAAACAATATATGTAACAGCATAGTTGAATCTCAGATGCCTTACCCTATAGGAAAAAAGCCAGAAACAAAAGGGTACATACTACATGATTCCATTTATACAATATTTTTGTAAAGGAAAAACTTAAGAGACAGAAAACAGACCAGGGGTTTCCAAAGACTTTACGACCAGAGAGGCCTAGCTGGGCTGAAAACGATTCTGAAGCTAGTTGCAGAATATCTACACCTTAACAAGATTGTCAGGGATGAATAAAGTAATAATGTCTGCCATGTACTATGGAAATCGTTGACTTTCCCCCTCCACGCACCCCGTAATTCTATGATCCAGAAAAAGGCCTGATGAAATGCCAGCAGTTAACGGCAATGGGAGGATTTGAACAGTGGTTAAAATAAGAGTGGCGCTTCCTTCCAGAGTACCTAGGGCGGTTTGGGAAAGTCACCTTCATTTTCCCCGCAGTTTAGCAATTTTGAAAGGGGGTTTCTCTCTCTGCGGTGGAAGGCTGGGTCTCCACCCTTGCCCCGTCCTGGGCGGCCCCGGCGGCGGGGGGTCGCCGTGCAGCGCTCCGGGACAGGGCGCAGCGGCCCCCGAGCGCGCCCTGGGCGCAGCAGCCCGCCGCGGGGACACGGGACGCGGGACGCAGGCCGGGCGCGGCCGCCCGGGGGCCCGCAGGGAGGCGCGCGCGGAGCCGGCGGCGGCGGCCGGGCTGGCGGGCGGGCCTGACGCGCCGCCCCGCTCGCAGCCTCGCTCCGCAGCCCGAGCGCCGCCGCCGCCGCGCCGCCGCCGCCGCCGCCGCCGCCGCCCGCGCCTCCGAAGAGCCGCCGGCCCCGCCGCCCGATGGCGAGGCTGCGGGACTGCCTGCCCCGCCTGCTGGTCACGGTCCGGTCCCTGCTCTTCTGGTGCCTGGTCTACTGCTACTGCGGGCTCTGCGCCTCCATCTACCTGCTCAAACTTTTGTGGAGCATCGGCAAGGGACCGGCGCAGACCTTCCGGCGGGTCGCCCGGGAACACCCTCCCGCGTGCCTGAGCGACGCCTCGTTGGGTACCCACTGCTACGTGCGGATCAAGGTGCAGGCCGGCGCGGGCCCCGCGGTTTCGGGAGGGAGCGTGCCGGCCGTGGGAGCGGACAGCGCCGGGCTGCGCCCTTCCTGACTCCCGGCCCGGCGTCCCCGAGGGCTCCCGGGGCTCGCAGGGCGCGCGGGGGGACTGGGAGATGCCGAGGGGAGGCAAGAGGCGCGAGGTGGGACGGGGGAGGGCTCGGGACTGTGTGTGTCTTTACGTTCCCTGTTTGTCTTATGTGAGTGTGAGTGAGTGTGTGTGTGTGTGTGTGTGAGAGAGAGAGAGAGAGAGAGAGAGAGAGAATAGGTTATGTGGAGTTTCTCTAATCAGGGTCCTGTGATGTTACTGTCCCCTTGTCCTCCACCACAACCACCCAGAATAATCCTGCTCCCTTTCCTAATGGAAGGGGAAGCTGCTCTCCGGTCACCTTTTTGCCCTTTAGAGCTCAGATAACCTGTAGAGAATTATTTCTACTGGGGCCCTGCTGTCCCGGGAGGCTGTCCTTGCCCAAATTTTAGAGATGGAAAGAGTAAATACAGTCATTGGAAATCAGGAGTTTATTCAGATCAACAGAATAGAGCATTCACAGATGACCTAAGCAGCATGAAACAATCAATAAATGGTGTATGTTTGTGGGGAAGTCAGAGACCAAAGCCTTGAAATAAAAAGTAAATGTCAACCGTGCATGCAGACCCGGTGCTTGTCCCGGGCCTCGTCAAGCCCACGGATATTCTATTTCCTGAGGCTCCAGGTGGTGACAGGAAATGGTCCCTTGTGATGCTCTCCAGTCTGACTCACAGGCCTTTCAAAACTAGCCTCACATGAGGGGTTATTTATGTCGCCAAGTCCCGGGTTCCTGTGAGGAGCTAGATTGCCTTCAGAAGACCAAGGAGTATGTCCTTCTTACCCTCATTCAGCCTGGGGTTGAAATGAGAATTAAATGAGTTAATATTTGTAAAAACAAAGCAAAACAAAACAAAAAACTTAGAACACTGCCTGGCACATAGTTAAGTGCAATAAGGTGTTTGTTCACTAAATCCGGTCAGGTGCCCACAGCATCTCATCTTCCAAGACTCACTACCAGTGAAAGAAGCTATGGCACTTCTAGGAAGGCATTCTGTAACTGAGGGCAAAGTCGGATTTATCTTCATCCAACCTGAGGAGGAAAAGCAGTGTAAGAATCATCGGGAATTCCTTTCTTCTGACTCTGGCCAGCTAAAGAGTTTCCCCAGAGACACAGAACCAAGGATTGGAAAGAACCTTGTCCTGGGAGCTAGGACAAGATGGTGGCTCAAGTCACAGCCCTGCCCTCAACCACTTTTATGACCCTTGTTAACATCTTTAGGCCCCAGTTTCTAAATCTGCAAAAGTAATGGGGTTGAATCAGATGACTTTTAAGATTTTTTTCACATCTGAAAACCCAGTTGCTTGGGTTACCTGATATAAAACCCAGTCTTTGTGCTCAGCTTTTTGTTCTTGTTTTTTTTCCCTCACTTCTTTCTGAGGTTTTGTTTTTCCTTCTTGCCTTTTTCTCCACTTTCCTCTCTTCAGTTAGCTTTGTGCTTGTGGTATTCCTGTCTCATTTCCGTGCTTTTTTATTTTCCTCAGGCAGTTTTGGCCCCCACATGCAGAGTGAAGCCTTGCGCGCTCAGAGCATTCTGCTGTTAGGAATACACTGACGTGACAGGAGAAGCAGGCAGCAAGGGGAACTGTACATACAACTCTCAACTTAAAATAATAATGTGGGAAGGAGGGAACTAAAAATAAGGAAAGGAGGTGTGAATTATATAACTGATGGCACAGCTCTTGGCGGGCAAGCTGAGAAAAGTACATGACTAGGAGGTAAACATGGCAGGAATACAAATTCAGATCAGAATTACTTCCGTGTCCTGCAGAATTTGAATGAGATGAAATGTGACACATCAGCAAGATGAAAGTCACAAATCGTGACGTTGTTTCAGAAGCTCATAATATATAAATTGACCTTGTAAGTAGAACAAGAAGGGAAGGTACTATAAAGGGAGTATTGACAAAAGTGAATCTGTCAATTTACCCTATTGATAAATCATGGGATTTTTTTCCTTTTTGAAAATTAATAATATTTATTTTGTTTCTTGCTATTAAAAATAATGCAAGTAGTTTTTTTAATGAAATGGAAATACTTAGTGTACTACTTTAACAATCAGCATGAAACATCACTAAAATTCCATGCCCTCTGTTTTCTACTGCAGGATTCAGGCTTAAGATTTCATTATGTTGCTGCTGGAGAAAGAGGCAAGCCACTAATGCTGCTGCTTCATGGATTTCCAGAATTCTGGTAAACTTACCAATTAGCTTTTTCTTTTGCATAAAGGACTTTGGCTTATGATAGTGTCATTTGCTTGTAATGACTTCTGATAGACCTTACTCTGTGAATGCTTGCCCAGAGTTATCATTCCTAAATGTCCCTGAATCACAGGAATGGGTTTCCTTCTATTCGAAGGAAACTTGCATGTTACTATCCTAAATTAATTTTTTTGAGAATCAAAGAAGTGTCTTTTAATGTTTCAAATTTCTGAAATAGTCGGTTACAGAACAATTGTTGTAGTACCTACTGTGGACAAAATACAGCATTGGGCGGGGAAAGGACATGTGAAGGAAATCAAAGGCTTCGAGTGCCTTTTGGTGAGGCTTGGGGTGAGGGGAAAGTGGGGACAGAAGAGGACTCATGGAAACTGAAAAAGAACTCTTTCCTAGGCACGTAGCAACAGGCTCATATGCATGTAGGGCAGAGTAAGGAGCTAGATATTTCACATTAGGTAGAAAACTTATAGCCAAAAATACACAGTTGCTAGTTAACTAGGAGAAAATGTTCTGTTCTTCTTCTTTTTTTTTTTTTTAAAGATTGGCACCTGGGCTAACAACTGTTGCCAATCTTTTTTTTTTTCCTGCTTTATCTCCCCCAACCCCCCCGTACACAGTTGTATATCTTAGTTGCATGTCCTTCTAATTGTGACTGTTCTCCTTTTAACCCCACAGAGCCAAATAAGTACAGATGAAAACAACACACAATTAAACTTTTTAAAAAATGAATGAATATCTTTGTAAAGATGGCACATATCATGGTGGTAAAAAGAAAACCAGATTTTTGGTAGCACAGGGCTATGATCTTGAGACAGTTCATGAACTAAATAGGCCAAGAAACGGATGGGGAAAAAACCCATATTCTCTGAGGTGACTCAAGGATAAAATGGTATCTTTTTTTTTTTTTTTTTTGAGAAAGATTAGCCTTGAGCTAACATCTGCTGCCAATCCTCCTCTTTTTGCTGAGGAAGACTGGCCCTGAGCGAACATCTGTGCCCATCTTCCTCTACTTTATATGTGGGATGCCTGCGACAGCATGGGTTGATAAACAGTGCGTAGGTCTGCACCTGGGATCTGAACCGGCGAACCCCGGGCAGCCGAATTGGAACATGAGAACTCAACCGCAGAGCCACCAGGCTGGTCCCAAAATGATATCTTTTTAAAGGTCTAGGACAATGCCCTGTCCCCAAATTTCTCCCTTACTATTCTTCTTAATACCTAGAATTCACCATTACATATTCCTTTCCTCCTTTAGAGTTTTAAAGATTTTGTGTCATCCAAAGTCCTGATTTAAAATGCATGTAGCCCTGAAAGAGGAATTACCTTAACACACTTTGCTTAATACTTTATGAGTGAAAGGGACTTTATTCATACATGCATTGAGGATGCTAGTGTACCAGGAAGTATTAGGCATTGAAGAAAAAGAATGGAGGATGGCGAAATCCCATCTACTTCATCATTTTTCCAGAGCAAAAATTCTATGGATGCCTCTTCCCGAGGAGATCTTCCCATCGTGAAGATTTTTCTCCCCTCTGGAATTACCTGCATAAATAAACATAAGTCATTCTCATGTTAAACTTTTATCTGTTCTTCCTTCTGGAGACAACTTAATTAGGTGGTAAATAGCCCAGTGCAATTGAAGCATATGTTAGTGGAGTGCTTGACATGATTGGCTCACAATAAAATGTTAGTATGAAGCGTTAGTCAAATCTGCAGAAAGTGACATGGGCAGTGAATTCTGGCTCAGCCACTTACTTGCTGCAAGACCCTGCATAATCGTCTATATAACTTTGCAGAGTTGTTGTGAGGATAAAGAGTCAAAATGTGTGGAAGGCCTTTCACATGGCCCCAGTGAATACTCAACAAATCTTCATTTTCTTCCTTCATTCCCATTCACTCCGTGTGGAGATCCGTGTGCCAGTGCTAGCATCCTCCAGGCATTTATGAATAAAGTCCCTTCACTCATAACGTATTAACTAAAGTGTGTTAAGGCAATAACTCTTTCAGAGCTAGATGCATTTTAAATCAGGCTTTGGATGACACAATATCTTTAAAACTCTAAAGGAGGTGAGGAATATGTAATGCTGAATTCTAGGTGTTAAGAGCAATAGTAAGGGAGAAATGTGGGAACAGGGCCTTATCCTAGACCTTTAAAAAATAATTTCCTGATTCTGGCTGCTGCTGATAGTTAACATTCCCTGAGCATTTGCTATGTGCCGGGTACTCTTCTGAGTGTTGTAGATAGACCTTCCTGTGTAGGCCTCATAGCTACCTTTCTGGCATTGGCAGCACCAGAAAGTAGGGTACCCCTCATTCTTGAACTTCACAGCTGACCTCTGCTGCTTGTCTTCAGGATATAGGAATCATAATGATCTGATAACATACGTGGATTTTTATCCTTCAAATTTGACACCTTATAGAAACATTCAAGAGGGTGTTAAACGTTGACCAACAGGGGCTGGCCCCATGGCCCAGCGGTTTAAGTTCCAGTGCACTCTGCTTCGGCGGCCCAGGGTTCGGATCCTGAGCACGGACATGGCACCGCTGATTAGGCCATGTTGAGGCGGTGTCCCACATGCCACAACTAGAAGGACCCACAACTAAAATATACAACTATGAAGTGGGGGGATTTGGGGAGAAAAAAGCAGGAAAAAAAAAGAAGATTGGTAACAGTTGTTAGCTCAGGTGCCAATCTTTAAAAAGAAAAAGTTAACCAACAATATAAGAATACCTTACTTTAACATTTTAAATCATCATTCTAAATAAAATTCATGATCTAATTGGGGGGGCGATATTTAAATTTTTAGTAAGAAAAGATTTAAAGGATATTCTCTTTCTCCACGTCAGGCCAACTCCAATACTTGTCTGTGCCCTTGTTCTTCCTGGAGCCTCACGTGTATACATGAGGGACAGTCTACATGAAGATAAAGTAAACCTGCAACCACTTCAACCACTTGATAATTGTTTTGAGGAGTTCCAGAAAATAGCAGTGATAGCCATTTAATATAGGATAGCAGATGCTCTCTGTCTTATTTTAAGAAATGATACTTTTGCATGTTTTCCACAGTGTTGTCCCATTATTTACTCTTCATCTGAGCCCTTTGGCAAAATAGAAATGCCTGGTGATTCTTCTACATATCCTAGAATCTTCAGTGTACAGGAGCCCCTAGGAGGGGCCCAGCATCGCTCCCTGGACATCAGATCCATTTGCTCCAGCAAAGTCAAGTCTTGAATGTGTCCAAAAAGAATCTGGTGGTTGTGAGGAATGGTTTAGTTTTGAAAATACTCCTAGACATATTTTGATTCAGAAGAGCATAGATTAGCAAATATATGCAGACCAAATCTACCGTTTGTTATTCCAGCAAGAGCCTTGCTATAATTTAAAACAACAACAACGAGTCTCTGATAACTCAGTTACTCCAATAGACTATATTGATTTCATTGAACTTTGCTGGCCATTAATCTGAAAGCTACCTGGTGTTCAGGGAAAGTCCTAAAGCAGCTACACAGAGTGGCTGGTAATCAAATACCTCTGTTTGAGTATGTTATACCCTAAACCAAGACCTCTGTGTTGATACTTACTCTATAAACCAATACTTCTGTGTTGATACTTACTCCATCTTTCCTTCCAATCAAATTGCCACTATCACCCATTATGGAGTCTAGTCAATTCCATTCAAGTGCTCACTTCAGGAAAAAGTCAATTCAAATCAGAGTTTAGGGCAAAGCTGTTTTGATTAAGCCACTTCAAGTCTCCCTGCTGAGCTTTCCTTTCTCTTTTTCTAAAAGCTCTTTCTCTTTCATTTCTCTCTTATTTAAAAGCCAAAAAGACCTTTATGTCTGGCATTTTAAACCGATTTCAATTTACCTTATAAATGCATATATTATTCCTCTATTAATCAAGTTTTGCCGAAATACACATGAAATTATAAGCTTGTTTGTAGATAAAGTAGATCAGAATATTTGATACAGTGAAAACAATAATCATAAACTGGCATTGTGTGTAAAAGGACTTTTTAAACAGGAAAGCGCTATACATATGTAATGTGCTATCTGCATTTATCATCATTAACTAAGAATAGCTGTTGAGAATGGGTGACATATATACTATTTGATGTTACACAGAGACAATAAAATTCTGGGTCTTCTTTCTCAAAATCTAAAAGGAACATCAAACAAGATACACATCTATGAGACCTTTAGCTAAATTAGCCCAAAATAAGGCTATTTGTCAAAAGATGATTTTTCTCCCACTCTGTCTCTACCTCAATTTGCATCGCTTTTAAAAATATTTTGAGCTGATGCAGGCAATTTCTTTGAGTTGTCTTCACCACCAGCTGTACGGAATGCATTCATCATTACTCAAGCGCTGAGGCAAGTGAGGGCTCTTCATACACACAGCTGAGCACAGAGGCTGATGACTCCGGCTTTTTCTCTGTTGTGAAGGGGAAAAGGATATTCTGCCTCTGAAAGTGACTAGGCTAGTCACTTTCAGATGCAGAAATAGCTGGGAAAGAGGTTGCTTTTTTAGAAGCGTCCTCTGCTATTACCTAAAGCTACCAGAAAAAACCGATGTGGATGAAAATAGCTACTTTTGTTTATTTATAATATTTTCAGGAGTTACTGGTTTGGTAATATGTTTCATTCCTGTATCAAGGGGGTTGTTTTTGTTTTATTCATATGAATGACACACCCATCAGTCTATCATTGGGGTGATTTCTTTTTCGGTTTAGACTTAAACTATAAATCAAATAAGCTTTATTTATGACCTCCAGGAAGATTATATTTAAATATTGCTTTGTAATTTATTAAGATAGCAGTTGCCCTATTTCTTAGAAATGTTTAAAGTATTGTGTGGCTACACTCATTGATAACAGCAATAGTTGAATTGATTTGTAAGACAATTTAAATTATTAATAAGATAAAATATGCAGGTATTATGTTTGCATAATCTCGAATACAATTTTAAATGTAAAATGTGGGATTGAACACATTATTTTGAATCAAATTTCTACCTTGAAATCTCTGATTACATGAATTCTAAATGAAGACACAGATACTTAAGATATTAAAGCAGTGCACATTTTAATAGAAATTGAATATAAATTCCCTAACAAGAATTTGGGGACTTTGGTTGTCAGGCTCGTGTTTTGAGCTGGGACAGAGCTTTCTTGCACAACTGGTACTTCTGGCGCTATCCTGAGTCAGCTCTTTCATTTGTTTGTTGGCTACTTATTTAACAAATCTTTATTGAGCACCTACATGGGCTAGATAATCTGCCAGACAACCCAGGAAGCTTGTAATCAGGTGCAAGCACCAGACAACAACAGATCTTTATAAAGCACATGCCTGGGGCACTGAGGAGTGTACACACAGGTGAGAGAGTAGAGCAGGGGCCCACCCAACCTGCGTGTAAAGGAGGGAGCCTGGAAAGTCTCCTGGAAGAGGAGATGCCCAGCGTGAGGAGGAGTCCAGTGAGGGGTGAAAGTCAGAGACTGTGGGGAGTAGGGGAATGGTGGGGAGCGATGATGTTTCAGATAAAGGAAATCATATGAACAAAGTCATAAAAGCAAAAAACAATACCTGTGTTTGTTCACTACAAGTGGCGTAGTGCTGCAGAGGCAGTGTAGCATCGACTCTCGGTCCACACAACCTGGGTTTGAATCCTGCCTCTGTTGTTTGCTGATTCTGTACACTCTCAGCACATCAATTAACTTCTCTGTGCCTGTTTCTTCATCTGTAAAGTGGGATAATAATAATACCTACTTCATAGTATTGTTTTGAAGATCAACATTACTATATGTCAAGCACTTAGAATTGTACCTGGCATGTAGTAAGACTGGTATAGATGTTAGCTCTTTTTACTCTATTGCGAATGACAGAGAGTGTATAACAAAGTCAGGCTAGAAGATTGGGCAAGTCAAATCTTGGAGGTTTTGTCTGCCAGAATAACGAGCTTGGGCTTCACATGGTGAGTAACAGGGAGTCAAGACAAGATTTTAAGCAGGGAAATGACACGAAAGAGTTTGTGCTTTTGCTCCATCACTCTGGTTTTGTAGAAGATAGAGCTGAGGGGAATGAAATGGACCCGGTTAGACCAATCGATAGCCTGCTGCGTTAATGGAGGCCTGAATTAAGGTAATGATAGCAGCGATGGACGGGAAAAGTGATTAAATAAATATTTAAGAGGTTAAATCTGCAGAACTTTATTGATTGGGTATGAGGGATTATAAAGAGGAAAGAGTTGGGCTTCAGTTACAAAGACAAAAAAATTAATTCAAAATTTTAAGTAAGGCTATGAGAAAGTAATAAAATCATGTGTGTTGATAGATCAGTATCTTTAAGGAAATAAACTGCTTCATTTGTTTGCTGCAACCCAGAGACAGGATTAACAAGATTGCTGTGAAAAACACTTTTTATCGACATTTTCAAATGTATCTTAATTGGCAATACTTTTGCAGTTTTACAAATCACAGGTATCCTGGTAGAGATCAGTTTCTGTGTCCATTCGTAATTCCAGATCTGTGTCTGACACCCTTCCTGACAGTCTATCTGTTGATGTAAAGTGGTTGATTTCTTTCCGAGATCTTATTGCTTTGCCTCACTTCCCCTTGTGGTGCCCCTCTCGTCGTTGGTTTATAACCTCAGATCACTGTTTACTTGCCTATTGCACTCCAAAAATCTTTTCAGACAATAATCTCCCGTTTGTCTTGTGTCAGATAATTTCACACTGTGTTTCCATGAACAGATGTGCATGCAGATGCTTTTTATTTTTAGTGCACATTTTGAGTTCCATAACATAATGAGTCACTTTGAAAAATGCATGTCTTTTTTTTCTCTTTGTTATCCAAAGTGATTTTGTTCATGATGATGAAAAAGCTCATGGATCTCTGTATTTCAATTAATTCTGTGGTTCCGTGATCAGGCACAGGAGGAATACGTGGCCCAGCAGAGGCCTCCAGGACTTGGCTGTAGCACCCTGGCCATTCTAATTGGTCACTGCTGGTGCCGTTTTGGTTGTTAAATGTTTTTAATGTCGCACTTGCTTGTACTCATGGTTCAGGATCTTCTCCATGGAAGAATTTTATTTCAGCAAGCAGAGGTTTATCTTAAGCAGTTGTGTTATTGGATTCTTTCAGTGATAATCTTTTTTTAAATCTTCAGACTTTTTCATCCATAAGTAAACTGTTGTTATTACTAAAACCACTGAGCCCTGTTTGACGGTGGAGTGAGGTGGGTAAACTCTACTTTTTAGGGAAATATGTTTTCATCTCATAAATTTTTTCAGAGGATCAAACGTTTCTGCAATGTGGAAGCATTTGTAGGTACAGATTCCCTGATAGCTGTAAAGCATTATTTAAGAAAAACTTAGAAAATTGATTTCTTAAGTACATATGTAAGTATGTTGGTTTTAGTATCTGATATTTTGTGGTTTCTGCAATTACTGGACCTTCTTACATCCCACTGCAGCCGGTTAAAAAAATTAAATAATATAATTTTGCGAAAGAACATCAGTACTCCTTTCTCAACAGGTCTCTTCTCTCCTGCTCACACACAGCTATGTAACCTTTCTCAAAATAAGGAGTTGCTTACAGTTTCCAGTTAGAAAATCTGTAATGTTCCTCTTTGTATTAGTTATTGTGGTATTTTTAATTTTTTAAAATGTCCTTCAGGTATTCTTGGCGGCACCAACTAAGGGAATTTAAAAGCGAATATCGAGTTGTCGCACTGGATTTGAGAGGCTATGGAGAAACAGATGCTCCCATTCATCGAGAGAATTATAAATTGGACTGTCTAATTACAGATATAAAGGATATTTTAGACTCTTTAGGTAGGTTAGTTTTGAAAAACAGTATTAATTCTTTTTAAGGGACCAACAGTCAACAAATTATAAATTGATAACCTCATTTCTCAGGACGATGTGTTTTTCATCTACCTGAGCTGTTATCTGGATCCTGTCACCATGGTTTTAGGTATACAGCCCAAAATATTTGTAGAGGGAATTTAAAATAATACATCCAGAATAACATTCAGTCCACCAGCCAAGAATGACTTTCAAAATTTGTTTTTAAAGATAAACCTAATGTATACTATTTATTATTTCAGAATTAAGTAATGAAAATTTGATTATTGTACTCAGAAGATTCATTTCTTCAGAACCCACACCTAAATATTCATTAAAAAATGTTATAAGATGCAGAAGCACTTGCATTATCTTTCTTGTGTTGACCAGCTAATGCCACAATAATATTGTGTAACAAACCACCTCAAACTCAGTGGCATACAGACATAGGCGTTTATTCCTATCCTCGTGGATCTGCAGGTCAACTGTAGGCTGGACCCCTTGGAGTCTTTGCCTCAGGCTACAGGTCCAGCTGGGGCTGGCTTCTCACTGTGCCTTGGGCTGGAGCCCAAGCTATAGGGGAGAAGCTACCTGAGATAGCAGAAGTGAGAAGAGGGTGAGCCCAGCTGCCAAGCGTATTTCAAGTTTCTGCTTGTGGCCCATTGGTCAAAGCAAATCATATGGCTGAGCCCAAAGTCAAGTCATACACTCACCACGAGACCAAAGCAAATCACAAGGCCAAGTCTAACCTCAATGGGACAGCAAAGTATGCTCCTTCATAAGTAAATATTTTTTAACAATAATCTAATCCATTACCCTTTTGACTAAAACCCAGCTGTTACCGTTGGTATGTCAATGGAGCCAATATAGTGAGAAACTCATGAAATCAAATTAAAGGCCTTTCCTACAATAATCTAATAAGAGCATAGATCAGGCCGATATTCTTAGAGGAGGAAAAATGGATGAGGCCTGGGGGTGTCAATGCAGTGTTATCATTTAGTTTGATTACAATAAAATACACTCAGAGACACTGGTTTCCAGCAGCCATATTTCATTCATATTTTGTGGTAATTCAGTCAGACTTGGCCTAAATTTTTCTTCATGCGATTTTCTAGGCAATAATATAATCTTGCTTATGACCTAATTGTGTCTAGTGTTTACCATGGTTTTCCAAACTCAGGTCCATGAGATTCCTAGGAGAGATTCTGAACCTGTAGGTGTAGAGTGGAGCCTGGGCATCTAAACTTTCTGAAAAGCTACCTAGGTGATTCAGACATACAGGTTTCGGAAACACAAAATTCAATATCTGCACGCAGTGCATAATTAGGGTAGAATAGTGGAAAGATTAGTTTCAGAAGTGTACATATTTTATGTGAGGTAATGATGCACCCACCTGTTCCTTTTCAATGATGTCGACATTTATTTCTCAATTACAGGGTATAGCAAATGTGTTCTTATTGGCCATGACTGGGGGGGCATGATTGCTTGGCTAATTGCCATCTGTTATCCGGAAATGGTGATGAAGCTTATTGTTATTAACTTCCCTCATCCAAATGTATTTACAGGTGAGTTTAAATTTTCTTTGAAATGTCTTTGCTAACATGACAATTCACTATTGTCACTGACACTTTGGATTAAAAACAGCAAAATTTGATTAACATAGTATTTTAAAAATTAAATGACTAAATTATGATATTAGCATATGACAGTGTCAGATACCTTGGCTTTAAATATTCCTGAAGGGTCAAAGAAAGTATAGCTCCAAATTTGCTTGCATAATTTTATTTCTTTTTAGAAAACGTTTTACTGTGAAGTTGTGGGGGGGAGGGATAAAGGGGAAAATGCAGTAACATTGCTTTGACAGGAATAGATCCTGACAGCCTAGAAATAAATTCTCCTCTTACCTAACTGCTTTGACTATCAGGAATGGCAGCATTCTTTAAAGCGGCAATTCTTAAATTTTTGGTCTCAGAACTCCTTTATACTCTTAAAAATTATTAAAGACCCATTGAGCTTTTATTTGGGTTATATCTATAAATATTCACTGTATTGGAAATTAAAAATGAGAAATTAAAAAATATTTATGTATTAATTCATTAAAAAAATAATAAATCCAGTACGTGTTAACATAAATAATATTTTAATGAAAACTAACTGTATCTTCCAAAACGAAATTTTAGTGAGAAGAGTTTCATTGTTTTACATTTTTGCAAACCTGTTTAATTTTTGGCTTAATAGAAGACAGCTGGATTCTCAGATCTGCTTCTGCATTCAATCTGTTGCAATATGTTGTTTGAATTGAAGTATATGAAGAAATTTGGCCTCACACAGATTTGTAATTGGAAAAGGGAGGAGTATTTTAATAGCCTTTTCAAATAAATGTGGATTTTCTTCTTTAATACTACACCAAACTCTAATATTGGTGGTTTCTTAAAGGTTAGTAACAATGTGGAGTCTGACGTCATATTAATGAACTTTTTGTACTCTGTTATGTTAAAATCCATTGGTCTCTCTATCACTTTGAATGGATTTTTTACCCATGCATGATTTTGCATCATCATGCACTGTAAGATATTGGTTCATTGAGTTATGCAGATTTTCCATAAAATGACACGTTTCATTATATGATATCAAAGAATCACATTCATTAATATCATCCCAGTTTCATCAGAAAAGCCTTTAAGTATTGCAACGCTGTCAAGCTCACAGTGGCAGATACAAGTTTCAGGAATTCTCTTTTTTTTTTAAAGGTATGCTTTTTGGTGAGGAAGATTGGCCCTGAGCTAACATCTGTTGCCGATCTTCCCCTTTTTTTTGTCTCCCCAAAGCCTTAGTACATAGTTGTATTTCCTCCTTGTAAGTCCTTCTAGTTCTTCTATGTGGGATGCCACCACAGCATGGCTTGATGGGTGGTACTAGGTCCGTGCCCAGGATCTGAACCAGTGAACCTTGGGCCACCAAAGCGGAGGGTGTGAACTTAACCACTGCACCAGTGGGCCAGCTGCAAAAATTCTAATTTTCCTTTGAAAGCTTGAATTTTGTCATTGGCAACAAATACTGTTGATTGTTTTCCCTCAAGTGACAGGCTTGCCTTGTTCATTTTCAAGCGATTGTCTGCCAAATACTCAAGTCTAAGTGATAATAGTTCGTTAGTCTTTCTTTCAAGTAAAAATTGTATTCCATAAAAAATGCAGCTATTCAACTTATCAACTCAAACAATTGCAGAAGTGCTTTTCCTCGAGAAAACCAATTGTATTTGGGTTTTCAAAAGAACTGCTTTATATGTACTTTCTGTTTCAACACCGTGTTAAAAAGATGTATATACAAAGGTTGAAATTTATTAAAAATTAATCATTTTTGCTGTTTCATCAAGGACATTCTTAAGTGACACACTTAATTTTATGTATTTATTTGTTTAATACAAATGTGTGGTGGTGAAGAATATAATGATTATTGGTATTGTTTAGTGCCACTGCCCTGATTTGTGCTCAGGCGGCAATGGCTTTGTCTACCATTGCTTTTGTACCATTATGCAAATGTCAACCAAATGAGAAAAGCTAATAATGCCTTAGTATTTTTATGAAATAGTTTTGACCATCTGGATCCCTTAAAAGGGTTTTGGGGATCCCCAGGGATCCACATGGCCTATACTTTGAGAACCTCTGCTTTAAAGGGAACTCTTAAAATCTCAAGAGTGTTTAAAGACCTGTGAACAATGGCTAGGCACGTTTTTATTTGGTTTTGGCAAAAATTATAATTTTGTCCTTTTTTACTATCCTTGTCAAGTTTTCTGAGGTTCAGGTACTGCTACGACACACAAGCAGCTCTCTAGGGAACAAAAAATTCAGAATGACATTTCTGTTTCTTCCTCAAAAGTAAACAGGTGAGAGAAAAAGGAACCTGTCTACATAAATATTGCTTATTATAAGCATAAGAGTTGAACTTTGAGTACATACCCAATTGTCTTCTGTTGAGCTAATACAATGGATGCTTAGGATTTAAATATCAAACTGAGAATCATCATATTCTTTTCAGTTGCATTAGGCAGCAGAAGTCGTGCTACATGCTTTTTGAATTGATCAGGACCCTAGAGTCAAGGTGCTGTTATATGGACAAACTGTAATTGATCATTTCAGCAGGAAGACACTTTGAACATTTTTGGAATTATTTAATCCATACCAGGTTCAGCCTTGGTCAGGTCAATATGAGGTCTTCGAGTTATATGTCTCTATTTTCCCCTGAATTGTACTGATATCTTTTAATGCAGAGCTGAAGAAATCTTGTTCAATGATGAATTTACAAAATGTATAGCATAACAATGCTCCACTTACCTGAGAATAATAGTTCTAAAAACTGCAATCATGTTAGATATAGTTACAAAATTAGAAATAAGAAAAAGAACTACCTCTGTAGCAAAGAAAATAAAAGTATAGGCACAATACACAACAGGTATGCACATTTAATATGTATGATTACGTCACCTCCCGGTTAGAGCTTCAGTGTCTTCCCAAAGCACTTAAAATCCTTGTCCTTCTGGCCCTACCTGACTGTGCTTTGGCTTTTCTTTCTGACTCTTTTCATACCATTTCTCCCTCCTCACTCACTACACACTGGCCACACTGGCCTTCTTTCTGTTTCTTGAATGTGCTAAGCCCAGGACCTGCATTCTGTTCCTGAATGCTCTTCCTAGATCTTTGCATGGCTGCCTCTCTCTTATCATTCAGGACTCAGCCCACATGTCACATCCCCAGAGAAGCCTATTCTGACCACCTCTACTATATAATAGTCCCTCTATACCGCCCAACCATCACTCTCAGTCACATTACCTTGTTTTATTTTCTTTATGCTATTGTTGCTATCTAAAATGATCTTTTAAGTCTTCATTACTTATTTATTGTGTAAGTTCCTTGTTAATAGGAACCTTTTCTGTCTTATTCCCTGCTAAATCCCCTCGCACATAGTAGATATTCAAATATTTATTGAATGAATGAATTTTCTAGATACATGAATGAATTTATAGGAAACGCTTGAGTTTCTGTTGAGGCCAAATGAATAAAGTATTCAGATCAGCCTGTAAGGAAAATCTTTGAAACAACAGAAAATTACCTAGCATGTATCCCGAGGAAAAGTGTTAGGTCACTGATAATGACCCTAGAGAAAAGGCAGTGTTGTTTGGGTTTTCTGTTCCTTTCCGAATCAAGACTTCATAAAGTGGAACTTTCTTTTTATTTGAAGTGCTATAAATTTCCAAATACCAGAAATATTCATAATAAAATATAAGAACATGGAAATTGTTTCAAAGAGAAATATACAGAAGACTTATTTGTGGATTTTTTTTTATTGCATCATTCTAAAGGTGAAATTGCCTTAATAATAAGCTCTTTCAATAGTAAGTAATCTATATCCCTTGGATGAGGTCTAACACGACATTTTAATTTCAGAATATATTTTACGACACCCTGCCCAGCTGTTCAAATCCAGCTATTATTACTTCTTCCAAATACCATGGTTCCCAGAATTTATGTTCTCAATAAATGATTTCAAGGTAAGCCAAGCATGGTGATGGGTGTTAACTGGACTTACTGTGGTGATCATTTTGTGATGTATACAAATGTTGAATCATTATGGTGTATGCAGGAAACTAATATAATGTTATATGTCAATTATACCTAAATAAAAATAAGGAAGACTGGTGCTCAATAGTATGACAAAATTTAGGAAGTTAAAAATAAAATATAGACTGAAGTGCTAAAAAAAAAAAAGAACTGGTTCTGCTTATGTTGTTTTGATTTGTTTTAAATAATCATTTATTATTATACATCTGTTACATACTGTGCACTGTATTGGGCATTTCCTCCTACGCAAAGAAAAAGTTAAGTAAAACAAATAATATATTATTATTAATGAAAAACATTTTATTTTATTTTATTTTTTTAATAATTTATGTAGATACTCTTTTTTTTGCCCAAGCATTTATTTATTTACTTTATTTGTTTGTTTTGTGAGGAAGAGTGGCCCTGAGCTAACAGCTGTTGCCAATCTTCCTCTATTTTATGTGGCATGCCGCCACAGCATAGCTTGATAAGTGGTGCTAGGTCTACGCCCAGGATCTGAACCTGCAAACCCAGGGCTGCTGAAGTGGAGTGCATGAACTTAACCACTACACCACCAGGCCGGCCCCTGAAAAACATTTTAAATTAAAGTCCATCCTTAAGAAAGAAAAATAGACAAGTACTAAAACTTAATAAGTACTTCTAAGGACTCATCTGTAGGCTTACTTATTTATACAGACTCTGTTTGTTTATTTGAGTGCCTGGCTGTTCAATTTTTTGTGAGAGTCTGTGTCCCTACAGGCATACCTCTTTTTCGAGAACATCCCATGGGGAGATGGGGGAATATGAATGCTAGGTGACAGAGTTTGATAGCAGCGAAAGTGGAAGCCCTTGGTGATAAACAACACCGCCAAAACAACATAAGCATGCAGGTACTGATGTACCATACACCCTGACACCAGAGTCATATGCAGTGTCTATTTCTCAGAAATTTATTGAATGCTTCTTGTATGTTCAACAGAGTGTTAGATATTTAGGGAGGTTAAAAAAGGACATGATATTATTTTACCTGGAAATACTTCTGCATCTATCTCTAACAGATGAAGACTTTTTCATAACCCCAATGCCATTATCAAACCTAAAAAAAAGGAACAACAATTCACTAACATCATTTAATACCCACTCAGATTTCTTTAACTGTCTCAACTGTCTTTATACTTCATTTGTTTGAATCAGGAGCCAAACAAGGTCTACATTGTATTTGGTTCTTGTGGCTTTTGAAACCCATAACAGTTCCGTCTTTCTTTGTTTTTTAACACTACTTTTTATTGAAGAAATTTGGCCATTTGTCCTGAGGAATGATCCACGTTTTGGATTTGGTTGACTGCTTCATCATGGTGTTATTTAACTTCTTCTGCTAACCTTTGTTTTTCCTACTGCATAGGTGCTGCTGATCTGGAAGCTCGATTAGATTGAATTTTAATTTGACAAGAATACTTTAAAAGTAGTGCTTTTTTTTTTTTTAAAGATTGGCACCTGAGCTAACAACTGTTGCCAATCTTTCTTTCTTTCTTTCTTTCTTTTAATTGCTTTTTCTCCCCAAATCCCCCCAGCACATAGTTGTATATTTTTGTTGTGGGTCCTTCTAGTTGTGGCATGTGGGATGCCACCTCACCATGGCCTGATGAGCAGTGCCATGTCTGCGCCCGGGATCCAAACAGGCAAAACTCTGGGCTACCGAAGCCGAGCCGGGGGAACTTAACTACTCGGCCACAGGGCCGGCCCAAAAGTAGTGCTTTTTAAAACGCGGTATTTCCAAATACATCACATCAGGGAAGCACATAATGTCTGGTTGTCCCAGATTTAGTAATGCTAACACTGACCAATAAGCTCACGAGTGGTCAGCCTGTCCAAATTTCTCAACAACCTTTACCAAATAATTCCAGCATACCTTGATCATCATGCCTAGGTCCATTATTTTATTAGGGTGTGAAAAATGGTTATTTTCCAATTTTATCATTCATTCTGCTTTTATTAACGGGAATTCTTCTATAAAGAATTTTCCACATCTACTGTTTGGTTTTTATTTTTTCACTTAACAATATGCCCTGGAGATCACGTCATATCAGCATACAGATTGTCACCAATTTTTCTTGAGTACTAAGAACACATAATATACCATTTTGTGGCTATACCACAGTTTATTCAACCAACCTCCCGCTGATGGACATTTAATTTGTTTCCAGTCTTTTTCTATTACAAATAATGTTGCCATTAATCACCTCCTGCATATGTCATTTCATATTTTTGCAAGTGTATTTTGGGGTTGAGGGATCTGAATCTTAAACAAGAATTCCAATGATTCTGAAGCAGGTGGTTTAGATCCACACTTTGAGAAATGCTGGTATAGAGCAATGTTTTTCAAATTGTGGGTGGGGACCCATTAGTGAGTCATGAAATCAATTCAGTAGCTGCAATTCGAATTTTTAAAAATAAAGTAGAACAGAATTGAATGGAAAATATCAGAAACACTGTAATAAGGGTAAGGGCTCTAAACTTTTGTTTCAGAAATATATATGTAGGGGCCGGCCTGGTGGCACAGCGGTTAAGTGCGCATGTTCCGCTGTGGCAGCCCAGTGTTCGCCGGTTCGGATCCCGGGTGTGGACATGGCGCCACTTGGCACACCATGCTGTGGTAGGCGTCCCACATATAAAGTAGAGGAAGATGGGCACGGATGTTAGCTCAGGGCCAGGCTTACTCAAAAAAAAAAAAAAAAGAAAGAAAAAGAAATACATATGTAGGAGTATGAACTGGATCATGATGTAAAATGTGTTTGTTACCCTAGGTTGTGGCCAAAAGACGTTTGAACACCTTTGGGGGAAGTGGATTGGTTGTCAGTAAACAGATAAACTGCTATTAGCTAGAATATTAGGGAAAGCTTGAAGGTAGCGATAGTACGTGAGCTCAGTCTTGTAGAATGTGAATAGGCACCAAGAAGCCAGGATGCTTTTCATAAGGGTGAAGTGTGCATGGGGGATTTGAAGGGAGGACTATTAAAATAAAGCCAGAAAAGCAGAAATGTGGAAAATGTGTTTATAAACAATGAGGTCTCCAACCCGGCTGGAGCAGAAACTGGGAATTGTCACTGCATACTGATCATCATTCTCTTCCAAAAGCCAAAGATTGAGTTTATTATTAGGTAACTAAAAAGTTTTAATTATTCTATTTTCACTTAAATTAGGCTTTGAAACATCTGTTTACCAGTCACAGTACTGGCATTGGAAGGAAAGGATGTCGATTAACAAGAGAAGATCTTGAAGCTTATATTTATGTCTTTTCCCAGCCCGGAGCATTAAGTGGTCCAATTAACCATTATCGAAATATCTTCAGGTCAGTATAATTTATTTTTAGTTAAATAAAATACTCATTCCCCAAAGAGCCAATATTTTATTTTTAAGATTAGGTTCACCAGTTATCCAAAGACTCAAATAGTATTCTGATTTTGTAAGTTGCATAATCTTTTTTTATGGAAAATTTCAAACATATGGAAAAGTAGAGAGACTAATATAATGGATCCCCCACGTAGCTGTCACTTGTTTTATCCATAACCCTCTCCACTTCTTCTCTCCCTTTGGATTATTGTGAATAGATGGATATTTTTAGTTATATTTTGTAATGATCATTTATTCATTCAAGAAATATTTATTAAGCACTTTCTATGTTCTAGGCTATGACATCACTCAGGATACAGTAATGAGCAAAACTAGACAAGGTCCCTGATTTCACAAAACTTGTAGCTGAGTGGGGAAAACAGACATCAAGCAAATAGCCACAGTAATAAATATATGGTTATAAACTAACATAAAGACTTTGAAAGAAAGGGATGAGAACCAAAGAAATGATGTTTGAACAAAGAGATGAAGGATAAGTTAGATATTGACTAGATAAAGTTGGGGGTAGGGAGGTTGGCATTCCAGAAAAAGGAAACAGCATGTACCAAAGCTGTGTGGGAAGATGGAAGGTTGTGATTTTCAGTAACAGGATGAGGACCAGTTGGCTGGAGCACAGAAAGTGAGGGTGGGAAGAAGAGAACGAGTCTGAGATGTAGGCAGCAGCTGGTCGTGCAGAGCCAAGTAGATCATGTTAAAGACTTAAGAGCCATAAATGTGAAGCCAGTGAATGAGAGTTTCAAGCTGAACAGAGAAACAATCCAATGTGTATTTGGATAAATTCACTCAGTGTGGAGAATGTATTGGAGAAGTGAATGTGAGGAAACTATGGCGGTCCAGGCTAAAGATGAGGTAGCTTAAACTAGTCTGAAGGCAGTGGAGATGGAGAAAGTGGGTAGATTGAAGAGATATTTAAGAGGTAAAATTGACAGGCGTTGGTGATGGGTTGGATGGGAGGATGAGAAGAAGAGGGATGTCATGGGTGGCATGAACAACTGTATGGATAGTCATACCATTCACTGAGATAGAAAATACTAGAAGAGAATTAGTTCTGAGGAGAAAGTCATGAATTTTATTCATCTTAGACTAGTTGAGTTTGAAGGGGTGCTTTAGATATTCAAATAGGCAGTTGGATACTAGGGTCTGGAACGCAGAGGAGAGAATCTGGATGAAGATATGAAAAATCTTGGAGTCACTGACAGAGCCAAATGAGGCTTTCATTTCAGAAGATATTGTCTAGGGAGAAAGTATAGTGTGAAAGATAAGACATGGAGGTTTGTCTGTTTGGATCTGGACTCTAGATAGGAGAAAAGGATTTCCCTTGAGAACTGGCAGCCATCGCCTGCCTTGAAAAGGTTTAGGGGCTTGAATTTATGCTATCTCCATAATACTAGAATTCTCAGGGAAAAAATTATATTTTAACATCATTTTGGGCTGATGACACTTCCTAGGAAGCCTGGCAGAAACAAAGACAGAATCTCTCTTGTGGATAAATCTCAGCTCAGACTCACAATATTTCCACAGATAAAGTCCCCTGAAGATGAGTTCATAATCCAAATTACCAAAAAATACCAATCAACCGTTAGTGAGTCAGAATACAATTGCAGCAGAACGCCTACAAATTTCAAATACTAGAACTAACAGAGACTTTAAAGTATGTTTAAATCATTAAATATATCAAAGAATAAAAAATATGAGAAAAGAATAAGAAAATATCAAGACAGGCTGGAAAGAGCTGAAAAAAGAACCAAAGGAACTTCTAGAAATGAAAAATATGGCGGTTAACATCTAAAATTCCTTTAGGTAAGTTAAATGGAAGATCAGACAAGCTAAAGAGAATTATGAATTGGAAGATAGATCTGAAAAAATTACCTAGAATATAGCTTAGAGAGGTAAAGAAGTAAAAATATGAAAGACAGGTTATATTTGACATGTAGGATAGAATTAGAAATCATATAGATAAATAGAGAGAAAAATTAGAAACATTCATATACATATATGCTAAGAATTTTTTTCTAATAAAATAAAAAAATAAAAATAGAATGTATTATTTCCAAACCAGTAGAGGGGTACAAGAAAACTGTCAATTCAAAAAGCAGGAAAGGAGAAAAAGGGAGCAAAGCAGGGTAAATAGAAATCACAAACTAAGATGTTAAAAAAATTCAATAGGTCAGAAAGTACAATAAATATTAATATGTTAAACTTGCCAGTTAAAAACAAAATATCAGATTGGATTGAATCACAAAGCATAAGGACACAAAATGGTGGAAAGTAAGAGGATTATAGCAGGTTTTATTTTAAATAAAACAAAATCCCACAAACTCTTTGAATATGGAATCTACGGGGAGCCCTGAGATTGTATGAATGAGGAGAGAAGAGCTATATCCAAATCTTCTTTTTAGACTAACAACAACAAAATTTACAAATATAAATATATCTATATATCTTTGGCAAAATGGTGATATTAATTTAAAAGGTGTTGGTAGGTAACAATTTATCAAGCCAGGCAATGATTAGAAAGGCAGAGGTTACAGGCAGAGGCTATAGGTATATAGGCTATACATGTTATAGGATGTAGCAACATTGTTTGAAGTCCATGTTTTGTTGTTTGTTTTTTACAAATAACATTTGTAAAGACAGTTATTTAAGAGAAAATAGAGAGAATGACACATTTTCACACAAGTCTGAATTTTGGACAGGAGATAAGAATGATAGTTTAAAAAGTTCTCAATTTGTCCCTTTATCAGAGCTAGCTTTGTGATGCCAACAGTATGTTTTAAGTAGTTATAAGGAAAGAGGGAAAATATTCTGATTTTTCTGAGGTTCTTTTACTATCAACTGTTCATTAGGAGGACCTGCGTTCCCAAGGGTAATCTCTAGAATCCTGTTAATTAACAAGGAGAGAGATAGAGAGAGAAAGAGAGAGAGAGAAAGAGAAAGCAGACCTGTGAAAGCCAAAACTCACAATTTTATATAAAGGTGAAAGATGGTTTTTAACTAGATTATTGTAGGTTAAATCTAGCTGGGTGAATGAAGATCACTTGGGACCTTCTGGAAGCTCAACTGACCCCCTCTGACTGTTCTTTACATAGGGTAATCAAGGCCAAGTACATCATTAAAAATAGGGTTATACAATATATAATGACTATAAAAGTATAGTACATTATACTCAGGTGTGAAAATCACCTTCATACCTCTAAGGCTCCCCAGGACCATAGCCTCGTCCAGGGACTGTCCAAAATTTGGAGCGAAGGAGACAGAATGAACTAGGAATCTAACTAGCTATAGGACCTAGCCTACAAAAAGATAAACAAGTCTAAATTTATAACAAAGCACCAAATCATAAAGCAAAAACTCGCAGACTTACAAGGAAAAATGACAAATCTACAATTACTATTGGAGATTTTAGCTCACCTCTCTCAGAAGTTCATCAGCAAGCAGAAAAAAATTAAGGATATGGAAGATTTGAACAACCTGATTGACATCTTTGATCTGATGAACAATTCTAGAATCCTGCACCCAACAATTAGAAAATGCAGTATTTTTAATCACATAGACTGTTTGCAAAGGTTGAGTACATACTGGACTATAAAGCAAGTCTTAACCATATCGTATAGATTGTCTTCTCTGACATACTGCAGTTAGCAATTAACAACAACAACAAACTTTTAGAAAACTCCATATATTCAGAAATTTTAAAAACTTCTAAATTACTCATGGATCAAAAAAATCATAATGGAAATCAGTAAAAATTTTGAAAAAAATGATAATATCAAATATGTGGAATACAGTTAAACAATACTTAGGAAAAATATTTATAGCTTTCCATGCTTCTAGTAGAGAAGAAAATTGAAAATTAGTGAGCTAAGTGTCCAATTTAAGAAGAGAGGGGGGCTGGCCCCGTGGCCGAGTGGTTGAGTTTGCGTGCTCCACTGCAGGTGGCCCAGTGTTTCGTCGGTTCGAGTCCTGGGCACGGACATGGCACTGCTCGTCGGGCCACGCTGGGGCGGCGTCCCGCATGCCGCAACTGGAAGGACCCACAACTAAGAATATGCAACTATGTACCTGGGGGCTTTGGGGAGAAAAAGGAAAAAAATAAAATCTTTAAAAAAAAAAAAAAAGAAGAGAGGAATAGAACAAGATGTAAACAAAAATAAATTAGAAGGAAAATAATTTAAATTAGATAAGAAATTAATACAATCAAAAACAAAGACATAACAGAATCAACACAACCAAAAGCAGATTCTTTGAAGACTGTTAATATAGATAAACTTTTGGCAAGATTGGTTAAAAAAATGAATAAACAATATTAGGGAGCAGAAAATAGACATAACTACAGACATAACAGACATTAAAATATAAAATTTAGGTTGACAAATTTGAGAACTTTCACAAAATGGGCAGTTTTTAAGAAAAATATAGCACCCAAAACTGACTCATGAAAAATTAGAAAACCTGAATAGACACAGCCATTAAAGAAATTGGATTATTAATGTAAAGCATAGCTACATAACACACACCTACAAATACACACCCACACAAATAGGCCTAGGTGGTTTTACCTCAAGTTCTACCACAGAAAATCTCATTCTTAAAATAGACTCTTTCAGACATTATAAAAAGAATGTATATGCTTCAGCTCATTTTATGAGGCTGGTATAAAACTTTCATACCAAAACAAGACAAGGATTGTATAAAGCAGGAAAATTAGGGGCCAGCCCAGTGGCATAGTGGTTAAGTTTACACGCTCTGCTTGGGCAGCCCGGGGTTCATGGGATAGGATCCCAGGTGTGGATCAACACACCACTCATCAAGCCATGCTATGGCAGCATCCCACGTACAAAATAGAGGAAGACTGGCACAGATGTTAGCTCAGCAACAATCTTCCTCAAGCAAAAAGTGGAAGATTGGCACCAGATGCTAGCTCAGGGCCAATCTTCC